GAGTGTATTGCTTTCTCCATGTGCCACAGCAACACCCTGCGGTCATCTCCACCTAAGACAGAAGACATATTAATAGATTCTCTAGAGTAGTCGACCGGTTTCAACATCTCTCGAGGGTTTAACTGTAGGGTTATACGCGCACAATCTGGATGTTTTACAGAAATCACAGAAATGCTTGAGAAGCTTTTCTTGTTAAAAATATACTAATATAGAAAAATGTTTCACAGTATTACTATTTATAAAAATAAATAAAAAAATAGTATGAATCGCAGTCAATTGTGAGACTAAACAGATTGACACGTTTTATTTAAACAGGTGGATTTCCACAAGAGAACTTCTTGTCGCAAACGTGTTTTTGTCATTTCAACATGTTGATAGCAGCATCCTACTGCTATTTTAGTGTCACATCTGTTGTGCAAAATGTACCAGAAGGTTTGAGGTTTTGCATTTAGTTTCGCGGTGAAACCAAGGAAAAGTTGACCGCAGGCATCATCTACATTTCTGTACAAAACCTGTGTAAGGAAAAAACACTATACTTTTATCATCATCTCTCAGTGTTTCGACCCATGTAGTTTTCTAGGCAATCCTGGACAAGGGGTTTAAACAAATATTTTAAATAGAATGTAATTAGACAGAGCAATTTCTATGTTGTCCTGGTTTCACAGATGGGTCTTAGATTAAGCCTTTGTTCAATAAGGGCATTTAAGTAGCTTTTATAAACATGCCTTAGAAAAAATATATATTACTGGTGTGTATCTTGAGACAAAACAATGGCACTGACATATTTTAAGGTATGTCAGTGCAAGTTGCTTTCAGTCAAAACAGCAAAAACATGCATTTTAGTCTGGGACTATCTTAAGTGAAATCGGGGGTAAATAGTTTACTAGATTGTTACTAGAAAACTTTTCCAAGCCTTGAATCCACCATTTAAGAATTGCCTTATATTTCCTGGTTTTCATGAGCATGGGAACTCTCTGGAACTGCACATTCACCAATGTAAAGACTGAAAATATGCAAGTGCAATAACATACAAAGGACAAAAATAAAGACTCGACCAGGAATGAATATGTGAAGCCAAAAAATCAGCAACAGCTGCAACCAATTAATGAGTCAGCAAGAAAAAGTGTACGACAGAAACTATGGAGGCCCTTCTACAGTCTGAACCGCCTACAATGGGCATTAAAAGTGCCAAAGTGCCTTTTTGTTTAGGTTAATCTGGCTCTTATTCGAACTAATAGACATCTATCAACCTGGATGGATGAAGATTGTGAAGAAGTTAATAAGCATTTTTGGATTCAATTCCAGAAAGTTTTTATGCGCAATGCCAATGACTGTGTCTTGGACAGGCTATGACCCTAATTTGTTTGCACTTAGCACTTCATGTCTTGCCGTTTATCCTTGAACTATGGCATGGTAGATCTTTTTTATTGTTTATTATTAGTAGGAACTTAGTAAATTATTAGTAACTTTTGTCAATTGCATGACAAGGCTGGTCATGTGATGTCAACATGGTTACACCCATGAGGGCCGACCCAGTTCATGTAGAATAAATAAGCTTTTTCTAGAAGACTTATCTTTATCTCATGTGTATTTACATTATGTATTGTAATATACTTTTATTTATACTGGTTTGATTTCTTTGTGTAAAAGATTTTTACTGAGTGTACCTTAACATATACTGACAGTAAGACTGAAACCCTCTCGTTTATTTATTTATTTATTTGCAATGAACAGATAATTAAAACATGCTAGCACAATCTGACAAATGAAGATGTCAAATCAATCCTGTCAAGTCAGAACTCAAGTCAAATGCTTAATTTGTGTGCGATATGCATGCACGTTTTATTCTGAATGCTTATTCTAAAGGCTAGTCCGTTTGAGACTCTGGTCTCTCTCTCGCTGACCCACATTAGAAAGATCAGCGTGCAGAACCGGAGGATCTTACCGGACACCAGCCACTGGCCTCCATTGTTGGAGAACTCGATGGCGTTGACGCAGCCGAAGTGGCCGAGCATGTCCTTCTTGAAGAGGCTGTTGCAGCCGGCCAGTCTGCGCCGCTGGAACTCATCCTTCAGCTTCGGCTGTCCGCCGATCGTCCTGCGGGAGAGGAACCCGACGGCGCTCCGCATGCCGCAGCCCCGCAACTCCTTCATCTCTCCTCCGGTAAATGAGTCTCAATGCCACCGCTAGAGTGTCCCGGCCGTCATGGGTTTGAGCTCAGGTCTAGTTCGGTGGATTCTGGTTCCTTTTGAGGATGTGCTGTTACATGTTTGCTAGGTAAAGCATGAGAGTGCGCAGCAAAAACAGAAGGTTGTTTAGAGACTGAGTCCCACCGACCGCCGGCACTTCCTGCTCCGGTGCAAGGGCGATGACGTCACAAGACCGGATCAGAACCCGTGCTGTACTTTCTGATTTGTTTCAGCTTTTGTTTGTGACCGCATCTTTAATCTGTATTGCTCTTAATACAGTACCTCATTTTTACGCATGTTTTTTTTATTTATAGTAACGTTACCAGGGGAATGTGTATTAAAAACAATATATGCACATGCTTTTAAAATACTATTTAATTATGTATTTTTGAGGACTTTATGTATAAGTTTTATTTTATTTATGTTTACAGTCTTATTTTACAGCGTTATTTTAATAACAACATCTTAAATATGAAACAAATTGAAATGTCAAAATAAACCATATCCAATTTTTGTATACAATATTGTAATACTATTAGGACTTTATTAAAATGCAAAAACAAAATAAATTAGCATAATACATTTACTCTCATATCAAAAGATAAGATCTTTTTTTAAATGGTATATTAACAAATATTATATAATAAATCTGCTAAATTATAAACTCCATATTAAATTATTTAGTATTCAGATTCATAAGCTTTATATTTAATTTTTGACATTCAGATTCAAGCAAGACATCCCAGTTTAGCATTCTTAATCTTGTGATATTCAGAGAAAATACCGGTATGTCTCCTATAAGTCTTAGAGCTGCCAGCATTTCAAGTTGAGATTTGGATGAATATTTGTTGACTTGATCTGTTTCATAATCGTCCAACAAGTATAAAAATCACAAGCAGGGACCAGAACAAAAGTATCTTAGTGTGTGTAGTTTTATTAAATTCCAGTTAAGGAATTACAGTGGTAGTATTTTTTCCAACAGTTTTTCTTACAAATACAAATTAATCCGAGTAATCCCCCATAACTGGAGCAGAACATTAAAATTAAAAAGCTAAACTTTTTTTTAATAATTCTTTTAATAATAATTAAAAAAACTAATACTAGTGGCAGGTATACATTTAAACGGCAAACAGACAGTTCTTAAGCACAGCTTTAACTAAGCTGACATCATCAGCACAGCTCCTTACATACTGTGTATGATAAATTATGAACTTTAGTCTGGACAAGCATGAAAAATGTCCATTAAATTGCACCAAACCTCTGCTGTCCATAAATAGAACAACACTGACATCATTGCACAGGTTTGCCACTAGCTTGCATTAATTGTGACAAGTGCGAGTCTGAGTTGAAGTATGGGATGGTTCCCTCACGGATTGGATTTGTTTTTGTTTTTTTGTGACATATTTTGGCTTTCTAAGGAGCAAGTGAGGCACAATATAATTCGATTTAAATCTACTCTATATGAGTAATGAGGACTAAACGATCTCTCCATCCTGAAAAGCAGAGACTAAGATAGTTCAGAGATGCCCTAAAAGGCCTTATGAAAAAGGCATGTCTAATACTTTTATAACACTGAGACATCAGTATCTACACATGCTCATCTCACCGACAGGCAGGTATAAGCACACAGGCTGTGGAACACTGTCATTCTTATGCTACGTTTAGTGAGATTAAGATATTGTGACATTTATGTAGCTCCATCGTTTAGTGTTCACGATACATGCCGGTCATATTTCACTCCAAAATCAGAAGATTTTTTTTTTTAGTCATTAAGTTTTTCTAAATAGTGACCAATCAAGTGGCATTACTCTAATTGTTTTCTAGTTTGCTCATTATTCTCAAAAGTGATTCTCATTAGATTTTTGCCAACACAATAACAATAAAGTTTAATTCATTAACACATTTGATCTCATAAACTAACCAGTAACCATGAATATTTTTTTTACAATATGTATCAATCTAGGTTAATGTTAATTTAAATATCTTATTTTACATTGTTAATTCATAATACATGTAAAAACTTTTTAAATTAACCACGGTTAATACATGTGTAAAAATATTGTTCATTTTTATTCCATGATACCTGATACATTAACAGCAGTTAACTAACTGAAAATTTTCCCATTTTTATTATTTGTATATTGCAGTATAAAATACTGTTATACGATGATTTTTTATAAAAGATAGTACAAATTGTTTCATGATGTGTACATTTACTTAATTGTCATGAAAATGTCATTACAATGCAAAAAAAATTAAAATAAAATAATAATAAATACTTTAAATATTTTTTAAATTAAAAATGTAACTATTTGCCCTAAAAATAGGCTATATTTTTTCTACAAAGCCAAATATAATTTCTTATTCTTTTCTTTTGATTTTGGGCTGAAGTATGACCTGAACATGTCCTAGGCACATCATTTAAATCCAATACAGCATCTGGGGGAAATTCGACATCCTCAAACAAGCCAACAAAACAGAACATACATTTCATTTTAAGAATCGGTTACATTAAAAAAAAAGATTTTTATGAGTGCAGCCCACAGGTGGTCCATCTAATGTAGACACAGACACTCAGTCCAGTTTCTGTCTCCAAAGTTCCCACAAAGCTTTGCTGCAGTTTTTAGCTGGAGTGAACAGCGCTGTGCAACACAAGAAGCATTATAACAAAAACACAAATCTAGTAATGTTTTAAAAGTGCTTTAGCGTTCAGTACCTTCAGTGAATACATTCACACACACAAACCTACAGAAAAAAAAAGTTAACCACATATAACGAGGTTAAGTCTGCAACACACACACACACACACACACACAGAGAGAGAGACACAATTAACCTTCGGGAGACTTTCTGACCTCGCTGAGGTTATAGAGTGAGAGAGAGGGATGAAATGCTTCAGCCGTCTTCGGGACTAAGCCACATGGAAAATCCATCCAAAGCAGAGTCCAGTCCAGAGTATGTCTTTTTAATAAATCAAAAGCACCGTTCCTTTCTCCTTTTTGCTGGTTTGCTCTCCCACAAGTGTGTTGGCTGCTGAAATGATGCTGAAATGTGTGGATACAGCTTTACAGAATGACACAAAACTCACTAGTTACGGAGTTAAATCAGTTTTAAAGATTCAGTACATTAGTCATTTAACTATAACCACTGGAGGGATTTAAAAGCTCAACATATAAGTAATAAAAAAATATGCCCTGTTTCCAAGACTACATCAACTCTTTCATAAAAGAACAATCAAATGTCAAAAAAAAAAGAAAAAAAAGAAAAACCAGACACAAACCGTGAAAAAAGCAGATATTTGAAATAAAAACATCAGGCAGCACTGAGAGTAAAGGCAGCCGTAGCATAGAGGAGTGAAGATGTGAGGCTGAAGTTCAGTAAGGCCCTTTGGAGGGTCCGAAGACGGCAAGTGGGAAGTGTTTGACGTGAGATGACCACTGAGCCGCCAGCTGGAAAAACTTCACATCGTTCCATTCAACTCCATCTATCAACACTGCAGAGAGGAAACATAAAAAAACACATAACTGCGTTTAGTGTGTAGCTATGTTTTCATCAATTCCACAAACATCGATTATACCTTATTTATACCTAATTACGGATATATGAATGTATATATATATATATATACACACTATATTGCCAAGTTTTGGGACGTCTGCCTTTACATGCACATGAACTTTAATGACATCCAATTCTTAATCCGTAGGGTTTAATATGGAGTTGGCAGACACTTTGCAGCTATAACAGCTTCAACTCTTCTGGGAAGGCTTTCCACAAGGTTTAGGAGTGTGTTTATAGGAATTTTTGACCATTCTTCTAGAAGCGCATTTGTGAGGTCAGGCACTGATGTTGGACGAGAAGACTGCGAGACTGAAATTTTCCAAAATGTCTTGGTGTGCTGAAGCATTAAAGGCAGGGTAGGCAGTTTGTTTCTAAAACACTTTTTCCCAAATTTGTTTAAACAGTCTTTATATACCGATACATATCTAAAATGTAAGTACTCTGAAAAGGAGAGTATAAAAATCGAGTGTCTGTTGTCCTCTCAGGGCTGCAATAAACACAGCTACTCTTTCCATTCGGAAACGAATGCAATGATTGGCTAGGATGACTGTCACTCTCCCTCGCTACCATGGCTACCAACCCTGCTGCTACAGGAGCTGCCCACATGCGCGCACCCGGTTGACTCGCTCATTTTGAAAGAGGAGAGGCACGTACCGGCCGGAAGCTAGGAAGTCTCACAATTATGGCAGAGAAAGAGCAGTCAAAATTCCCAGTACCACCTGTACCTGCATATACAGTCAGTGCAGGCAAACAAGGCAAAAAAAGGTGATGTCACTCCATGCACTGCGCTCCTCTCCGCTCGGCGCTGGTAAACGCGTCCTCCAGCTGAGCGGTCGGCATCACACGTTCATGTGTTTTGGGGGCGTGGCTTTGGAAGGAGCCCAGAAGGGAGGGGGTGGGAGTTTCTCTGTTGGATACTTTCAAAATCCAGCAGTTTTCTGCTAGTTTCTCAAACTTACCTACCCTTCCTTTAAGAGTTCCTTTCACTGGAACTAAGGCCCAACCCCTGAAAAACAACCCCACAACATAATCCCTCCTCCACCAAACTTTACACTTGGCACAATGCAATCAGGCAAGTACCGTTCTCCTGGCAGCAGTCAAATCCAGACTCGTCCATCGGATTGCCAGACAGAGAAGCGTGATTGGTCACTCCAGAGAACACGTCTCCATTGCTCTAGAGTCCAGTGGTGGCGTGCTTTACACCACTGCATCCGATGCTTTGCATTGCACTTGGGGATGTAAGGCTTGGATGCAGCGGCTCATCCATGGAAACCCATTCCATGAAGCTCTCTACGCAGTTCTTGAGCTAATCTGAAGGCCACACGAAGTTTGGAGGTCTGTAGCATTTGACTCTGCAGAAAGTTGGCGACTTCTTCGCACTGTGCGCCTCAGCATGCGCTGACCCCGCTCTGTGGTTTTACGTGGCCTACCACTTTGTGACTGAGTTGCTGTTGTTTCCAATTGCTTCCACTTAATACCACTAACAGTTGACCGTGGAATATTTAGTAGTGAGGAAATTTCACGAATGGACTTATTGCACAGGTGGCAGCCTATCACGGTACCAATCTTAAATTCACTGAGCTCCTGGGAGCGACCCATTCTTTCACAAATGTTTGTAGAGGCAGTCTGCATGCCTATGTGCTTGATTTTATACAACTATAGCCATGGAAGTGATTGGAACACCTGAATTCAATGATTTGGAGGGGTGTCCCAATACGTTTTGCAATATAGTGTATATATATACACACACCACCGTTCAAAAGTTTGGGGTCTGTAAGAAATAATATTTAAAATATATTTAAAATATTTTTGAGTCTTTCATGCACAAAATTACAGTAAAACAGTAATATTGTGAAATATTATCACAATTTAAAATAACTGTTTTCTATTTTAATGTATTTCATAACGTTATTTATTCCTGTGCATTTTCAGCTTCATTACTCCAGTCTTCAGTGTCACACAATCCTTCAGAAATCCTTCTAATATGCTGATTTTATGCTCAAGAAACATTTCTTCTTATTATTGTGCTGGTTAATATTTGAGAGGAAACGGTGACTTCTTTTTTCAGGATTCTTTGATGAACAGAACAGCATTTGTATAAAAATGAAATCTTTTGTAACAATGTCAAATTTTATAATAAATAAATGAAAGTATTAATGCTGAATAAAAGTATTAATTACTTTAAAAAAGGATCCCAAAGTTTTGAACTGTATATCATTTATTATTATTAAATAAAAAATAATAATTATTATTTAATTTAATTGACAAGTGTTTAGACTGATTACTTAAAGGGGTCATTTTCTATATTATTTTCATGTCCCTTGATTAATTTTAAAATTAATTTAAGATTTAATGATTCATTTTAAATCCCTTAAGTCCATTTATATATTGCTGGTCAATGTTTAAGAGCTGTTGGTTTGCATAATAAATATAACTTTTAACAGCCCTATTCTTCAATAACAGTGTCTTTGCAGGACTGGCATTACTTTGTTGCAGATCCACAAAACTATTTGCATTGAAATGTGCCACTTTTGCAGCTTAGTTACTTATCGGGCTGTTTTGCAGTATGATTTCAAAGGAGGAGGATTTGCAGTATGTTTTCAAATGTTTTCAATGAACTGATGATGATATGACCCATTTAAGCAAAGTCTTCTGATTTTATTGAAAGTTGTAGTGATTACTTTGATGAATTGTGATTGGCTGATCACCTTTCAGCATGGTCTGCTGGTGTTTGGCTGTGCAGATGAGCCGACTTATGCCCTCTATCACCTGGCTCTTAGACTCCGCCTCCTTATCCTTGGTCTTTTTAGGCAGAAACATCACTGAATACAGAGACAGAATACAGTACCTTTTATAAACTGTCTGTCACTGAATATGTCGCTGTAATATAAAGCGGCACTGTGCAATTATGTGTTTCCAGGTCTTACCCTTTTTATTTTTCTCTTTGGTGACAACAGTCATGGACATGGTCGGCTGATGTGTAATCTCTGCTCCGCCCAGTGGGAGGCGGCTAACCTGCAGCGAGCGGAAGGTGCACTTCAGCGTGTTTTTGCCAGAGGAATCTCTCTTCTCCACTTCTTTCTTCCTTTCTGACGGAGCAATCCAATAATCAACCTGAAGACCCATCAGCTCCCCCTGGCCCCCTCCAGGAGAACTGCAGCCACACACACAAGTTGAAGAAATAGAAGACTAAAGGGATCTCAGACACCTAGCACTGTGTGTGTATGTGTGTTAGTACCTGAACAAGTGTACAGAGGGAGAAGAGGGAGGCGTTGGAGATGCCTCTTTCAGTAATGGAGAGATCTGTGCAGGAGGAGTAGAGGAGAGAAGAGCAGATCCCACAGGAGCAGCGTCATCTGAATCGCCTACGAACACACGATCACATGCACAGATCAATCATAAACATTGCTTAAATATAATAAATATAACAAATATTGTAGGTTCACAATTGTTTAGATTAAATTTTAGGGCAGTTAGCAGTTTTTAAAATACATTTCTACTATCTTAACCCTATAGACCTTGTGCGCCAGAGAAACAAGCGTGCAGCCGTCTTTAGAAATTTGTGTTTGAACTTTTGTTTGTTTTTGCTGTAGCTCTGTATATTTCTATGGCATTGCAGTCGAAGAGTAATTACCCGGTGAAGTGGATTTACTTATTGTTGAGTTAACTAAAGTTATCGTGAGTGTTGCAATGTTTAAAGCGGAAGTCATCACAAATGTCAGTAGACCGGAAAGATTTTAAAACCAGCGGTTCCTTCATAAATCTGTAAGGTCTTACCTTCATGCTGTGGAAACGGAAAAGGGGCGGGGCTACATAAGGTCTATAAAGCACATTGTATCATATATTTGATATGCAAATTTATAAGGCCTCTAAATTACCCTATGATTACTAGTGCATACTTTTTTTTTTAAGTAAAAGGCTTTTTAGTATAATTCTAAATATGAGAAATCTTTAATGATTTTATCAAGTAAACTTTTATATTGTTAATAATATTTCAAGATGAACACTTACTGGACTGAAGCCACTTAGGTTTACTTGATTATCCAAACATAATTTTTTTGTGTTATGTTAAAATGCAAACATCAATTTTGATGCATCAGGCTTTTGAGGAACGTTTATTTGTATACCTCTCACTCATCATTCTATTGCATTGCAGTATGTTTTCATAAGAGCTCTTTCAGAATTTAATCTTATTTTTTGGCCAAATATAAATATCAGCAATTGGACCAAACTGCATATTATTGCTCAGTTTGGGCCTCTGAGTAAAAAAGAAAGTTTTTCCCTCCATGAGTGTGAGCTCTATATTCTCACTATGTCATTCTATATAAGCCACCAACACCTGATGGATCAAAAATGATAATACTCAACAAAAAACACATAAGCAAAATTGTTGTTTACTTTTTTCGCATTTCAAAATTTGTTCCATGTGACTTTCCTTACTATTATTTCATACGTCAAGCTTTACAGAGTTAACATGTTCGATTGACAGCCCTATTTAATACATAATACACTGACAGTATAACTAACCAGATGTGGCAGAAGTTTGTTCAACAATCCCCACTTTCACCACCTGCAGACAAGTTGAAATCAAATATACTGAATATATTGAAATCAAATACAGCATTTAAAATAGCATAAAACTATAAAGTTTAATTGTAAATGGATGACGTACCCCAATAAAAGGGATAAATTTCTGGCTTGAGTCTTCATCAGGACTGTGAAGAAAAAAAGGAGACTATGAACACATTGTTTACTGACTGACTAAATTAATACAGTGAGCAAAAAGGCCCCGCCCACCCTCAAGGGGAAACAAATCCTGGTTAGCATAGTTACCTATTGACTTCTATGAAGAAATAGATTTGACTATTTTAGAAAGAAAACATTTATAGATATGTAAAACACCACACAAATATATCACATTAAGGGGGACCTATTATGCCCCTTTTTACTAGATAACTTAAGTCCTAGTTGGCCTCAGAATGTGTCTGTGAAGTTTCAGCTCAAAATACCACACAGATAATTTATTATACCATGTTGTAAATGCCCATTTTTGAAGATGGTCCTCACTGCAGAACACGAAATCCAGGGGGAGGAGTTGGATCTGGATCTTTACATATACCTAAACCTACCCATCTCCGCCCCCTGATCCCTAACCCCACCCCTAATACTACCCATCTCCACCCCCAGATTCCTAACCCCACCCCAAATCCTACCCATCTCCACCCCCTGATCCCTAACCCCACCCCAAATCCTACCCATCTCCACCCCCTGATCCCTAACCCCACTCCTAATCCTACCCATCTCCGCCCCTGATCCCTAACCCCACTCCTAATCCTACCCATCTCCACCCCCTGATCCCTAACCCCACTCCTAATCCTACCCATCTCCGCCCCTGATCCCTAACCCCACTCCTAATCCAACCCATCTCCGCCCCTGATCCCTAACCCCACTCCTAATCCTACCCATCTCCACCCCCTGATCCCTAACCCCACTCCTAATCCTACCCATCTCCGCCCCTGATCCCTAACCCCACCCCAAATCCTACCCATCTCCACCCCCTGATCCCTAACCCCACTCCTAATCCTACCCATCTCCGCCCCTGATCCCTAACCCCACTCCTAATCCTACCCATCTCCACCCCCTGATCCCTAACCCCACTCCTAATCCTACCCATCTCCGCCCCTGATCCCTAACCCCACTCCTAATCCTACCCATCTCCGCCCCTGATCCCTAACCCCACTCCTAATCCTACCCATCTCCGCCCCTGATCCCTAACCCCACTCCTAATCCTACCCATCTCCGCCCCTGATTCCTAACCCCACCCCAAATCCTACCCATCTCCGCCCCCTGATCCCTAACCCCACCCCTAATCCTACCCATCTCCACCCCCTGATTCCTAACCCCACCCCAAATCCTACCCATCTCCGCCCCCTGATCCCTAACCCCACCCCTAATCCTACCCATCTCCGCCCCCTGATCCCTAACCCCACCCCTAATCCTACCTATCTCCACCCCCTGATTCCTAACCCCACCCCAAATCCTACCCATCTCCGCCCCCTGATCCCTAACCCCACCCCTAATCCTACCTATCTCCACCCCCTGATTCCTAACCCCACCCCAAATCCTACCCATCTCCGCCCCCTGATCCCTAACCCCACCCCTAATCCCACCCATCTCCGCCCCCTGATCCCTAACCCCACCCCTAATCCTACCCATCTCCACCCTTTAGATCTGGATCCAACTCCGCCCCCTGGATCTCGTGTACTGCAATGAGGTGCTGCTGCATTTTTGAGTGGAAGGAGAAACATCCTGTTTTTGTGCATGTATCTTTAAAATGCAAATGAGCTTTTACAGCTCGTGCCTCAGATACTAAAACATCTGTTTGATTTTGATTATCGTCTCTATTGCGGTCCCTCTCATGTAACATTGCAGTTCTTCATCATCATGAAAGTTTGTTATTTGCATGCGTTTTAAAGCCATATATAAGACTGAACTTCAAATATTTCTGAGCGCACACATACATCCAGAGCTGGCTGTCAGACGGCGCGTCCCGTGAGTATTAAAATAAGTTCTCATTCACGTTTTATTGCGCTTAAACTTTCAAATACACACACGGTTGTCAAAAACACAAAGTTCCCATAAACACACACATAAAGTCCAAACAAAACAAACTCAGTTTTTGGGTTTATTTGAAGGACAAAGAACTATTTTGGAGTGTTTTTCTTTATAAATACAAATCTATCAGGTTTTATTTTCTCCCTAGAAATGAATAAGAAACTATAGTAACCAGAATGCCCCCCCCCATGCTAAACCACATTCATAGTATCTTTCTGAGGCATCGTAGATTGTATCTATTAAAGAACATTGATCTATTAAATTTTTTTTTTGATCTCTGAGGAGAAAAGGCTTCGAACACTGAATTTGGCATTGCCACTATCTGATTCATTCAGGCATGCTGCAAAGAAACGCTGTGAAGCGAGACAAGACTGTGTAATTCCAATTAACTGTTGCCGTTCTGCCACTGCCCCATCCACTCCACAGAAGCTACCAGAAAGAAAAAAAACTGAAAGAAAGCAGCATTCTCAGCCAATCAGAGCTCAGATTTAGGCTAATTGAACCAGATGTGGTCTAAACCAGATTATAGGTCTAGCAACAAAAAATAATGTGATGTACAATACCTTGTTCATTATACTACAAACAATAAAATATATTATGAAATGGCCACTCTATTCAGCATAAAATTGGGTTTCATATATATATGTATATTCATTCAGACTGAAATCTCATGTTTTGTTAAACCATCTCTGATGGAAGAGCAGAGCAAAACACAGAACCAGAAGCAAATTATAAGAGAACCGAAATAATAAATAATCTCTGTGCCAACGAACCACCCCAAGAACACAACAGAAGCCCAAATATAGGGAGTTCATTGAGTTCATCTCAGCAGAAATAGAATTGCTCTCAGTGAAAAGCGTAACAGATGTTTTATTGCTCTGCGCACCAGAGCATAAAGGGACACAGATGAAACCAAAAACTGAGAAATCAGCCAATATCAGCAGCGATACAGCCAAGTGTAAAGAATCAAGACTGTGTGTGTGTGTGTGTGTGTGTGTGTTGTGTAATTTAGGTTGTTTACCCAGATGAGAGACAGATAGAGAGAGATCACTAGAAGAGAGAAAATTGAAAACAAAGCCAAGACAGAAAATGAATAAATTTTACCTCCATCTTAAAGTCTGTTCACCCTAGATAATATTATTTGTCTTTTTTTATAAAAGTGGAATCATTTGAAATAATTTGCATCCTTTACTTTGCCATTCAAATTGAGAATATCCTCTGGGACCCAGAAATTCACTTTAATCATTTACGAATTTCCCAGATCTCTTAAATGCTATAGTTTTTTACAGTATATACATAAAAAGTTGCCGTGAAACAATGTATTAACATGAAGAAAAATGTAAAGGAAAATGTTTAAGATTTGGAACTCTTTTTTTTAACCTGTTTACACTAATTAAATAATAAATCAGGAATTAAATAATTTAAATATATACATTAATTATTAATAAACAAATATAATAATTATAACAAATTATATCAAATCAGTCTGTAATACATTTCATAATTGAGAAATTATATTTAGTGAGATTTCTGTGCCAAAGTACTAAATAAATTCATTTAAATAAATATATTTGCTTTTTTTATTAGCAATTAACAATTTTTATTCTTTTTATAAAGAAGAATGTGTTAAAGAACAAAAATAGTCTGAAACAGGTATAAACATAATTGTTGCCTATGTTTTATCCTAATTTTTTTCATAACTGAGTTCTGAAGTCCTCTACATAGGACATCGTATGCTCCGAAAACTCTAGCTAAAAAAAACTCCAAAGCTATTTTTCTGGGTCCTGGGAGGACATTTAGTTTTGAATGTTATGAGAAGCTTACACTGCTCTGCTGAAGAACATCAGAGGTGTTCAGAGGAGGATGGAGGAAATATTCATATCCCAGGACAGCAAGAGATCCAATAAAAACTTCAGATTCATTCCACCCAGCAGCCTTCATTATACATTTTAATGGCTAATTCTAAAGACGGCACAATGTGGAGGAGATGGACCAATTTTAGAGAAACTGCGATGCTCAATATGACAGAAAGTCCCATCACATAAGCCCACTGAACTGTTTTGACCCAGAATTTCAAAGTGTGGATAGAATCTCTAGAGTTTCAAAAGCATCTCTTTGCTCTCCATCAGCCATAACTCAACCTTGATGCTATATGAGATGAGATATATGAGATATGAGAGAGAGAGAGAGAGAGATATGACAGGAAGCAAGAGGCCGAAGATGATATGTATCTGATTGGCTACAGTATCAGCACAGGCAGAAGGACCACAATACCTTAGTGCAAAATCAAAATGAAAGCTCTTTTTCCTTCAGAGAGGGCAAGGAAAATAAAAAAATAAAGAGAAATAAAGTATGTTATTCACAGACAGAGATGATAAACATTGACATTCACATGCTTTCTTTACAAAACATGACTTTAAGGAAAAGGATGCTCATGGAAAAAGATGCAGATATCTGGAAAAATGCACAACATGGATCGAGTGTCAGTTTTTGAGTAGAAAACCAGATATCTGCATCTTCAGAGCACCTGAAAATGAACCCAGCCTCAAATAACACATATTCAAAGCACTTTTATATCAATAGTTTATTGATATTTTCAAATTGTATTTAGCCAAATACAATTGTAGACACTTATAATCTTTGAATATGTTTTATTATAAAGTGGTAACATGTTAACAATCACACTGATATTCCATATTCAGCACAGCATTTATGTTGCCTTCTCTGAACTTTTTAATTCCTTTATATACAGTAAATATGGACCAGGGCTGCAGTGTGCATGTGTATTACCTTTTCTGCTTGTAGGTGAGCATGGCCTCTGCTATGGGCAACTGATGAGCTCCATTTGCTCCCAACATGTACTGTGTCACTCTGGAAACAATATCTGGACTGTCCTGAACTGCTGCAGAAAGAAGTTGACAGAGAAAATCTATATACTTCACACACACACACACACACACACACACACACACACACACACACACACACACACACACACACACACACACACACACACACACACACACACACACACACACACACACACACACACACACACACACACACACACACACACACACACACACACACACACACACACACACCTGGTTTCCTATCTTTGGGGGGACCCTCCATAGACGTAATGGTTTTTATACTGTACACACTGTATATTCTATTCCCTTACACTAACCCTACCCATCACACTAAACTTTCTGCACTTTTACATTTTCCAAAAAATCTCATTCTGTATAATTTATAAGCTTGTTTCCTCATGCGGACCTCAAATTAGGTCACCATGGACGTGGACAAAAACATGTGTTTGTGTGCATGTGTGTGTCAGTGTGTGTGTGTGTGTGTGTGTGTGTGTGTGTGTGTATATATATACACTCACCGGCCACTTTATTAGGTACACCTGTCCGACGGCTCGTTAACACTTAATTTCTAAGCAGCCAATCACATGGTGGCAACTCAGTGCATTTAGGCATGTAGACATGGTCAAGACAATCTCCTGCAGTTCAAACCGAGCATCAGTATGGGGAAGAAAGGTGATTTGAGTGACTTTGAACGTGGCATGATTGTTGGTGCCAGAAGGGCTGGTCTAAATATTTCAGAAACTGCTAATCTACTGGGATTTTCACGCACAACCATCTCTAGGGTTTACAGAGAATGGTCCGAAAAAGAAAAAACATCCAGTGAGCGGCAGTTCTGTGGGCGGAAATGCCTTGTTGATGCCAGAGGTCAGAGGAGAATGGCCAGACTGGTTCGAGCTGATAGAAGGGCAACAGTGACTGAAATAACCACTCGTTACAACCGAGGTATGCAGCAAAGCATTTGTGAAGCCACAACACGCACAACCTTGAGGCGGATGGGCTACAACAGCAGAAGACTCCACCGGGTACCACTCATCTCCACTACAAATAGGAAAAAGAGGCTACAATTTGCAAGAGCTCACCAAAATTGAACAGTTGAAGACTGGAAAAATGTTGCCTGGTCTGATGAGTCTCGATTTCTGTTGAGACATTCAGATGTTAGAGTCAGAATTTGGCGTAAACAGAATGAGAACATGGAACCATCATGCCTTGTTACCACTGTGCAGGCTGGTGGTGGTGGTGTAATGGTGTGGGGGATGTTTTCCTGGCACACTTTAGGCCCCTTAGTGCCAATTGGGCATCGTTTAAATGCCACGGCCTACCTGAGCATTGTTTCTGACCATGTCCATCCCTTTATGGCCACCATGTACCCATCCTCTGATGGCTACTTCCACCATGTCACAAAGCTCTAATCATTTCAAATTGGTTTCTTGAACATGACAATGAGTTCACTGTACTAAAATGGCCTCCACAATCACCAGATCTCAACCCAATAGAGCATCTTTGGGATGTGGTGGAACGGGAGATTCGCATCATGGATGTGCAGCCGACAAATCTGCGGCAACTGTGTGATGCCATCATGTCAATATGGACCAAACTCCCTGAGGAATGCTTCCAGCACCTTGTTGAATCTATGCCACGAAGAATTGAGGCAGTTCTGAAGGCAAAAGGGGGTCCAACCCGTTACTAGCATGGGGTACCTAATAAAGTGGCCGGTGAGTGTATATATGCATGTGTGTGTGTGTGTGTGTGTGTGTGTTTACATAAAAGTAAATAGAGTATTATTATATTTTTAATATGCAAATACATATTTGTATATATTTACAGATGGATAGAATGGAGAGTGAGTGACTATCAGAGAGAGACGGTTACCTGAGGATGGTGCTTCTGGTTTGTGGAAAAGATCTCTCCATGCCGAGTCCTGGAACAGACTGTTATATCTGTAGTCTATACTGGCCAGATATTTAGCCACTGGATGAACCCCTGCACACACACACACACATTTTTAGTGCTTCTGGTAGTGTTTTATTGGTCAGTGCCTGCTAATTTTTTCCTCTAACTCCTGCACTCACCGAGAGGGATGATGAGAAATCGCAGGTATCCGAGCCAGTCGGGGGTTTTATGAGTCAAGTGATCCACAAACAAACGCAAAACGGCAGACAGGTAATGCTGAGCTCCTGCTACTCCGATCCGCACTGGAGTCGGTGTGACTGAGTTACTGTTACAACTAGAGAGAACGACAAAAAGAGAAAGAGAAGGGGGGAGAAGGGGGGAGAAGGGGGGGGGGGGGTACATAGTGTGTTACTATCCTGGGGGAAAAAAAAGTCAAATGGCAAAAATAATTCAATGTGTATGTGTGTTTCCTCTCTGCTTCAGTGTGACTAAGTGACTCACAATCTCTGTATGCGAGCGATGATGGTGCTGAACGCTGCCTGTACGTCAGCCATGGTATATGTACACACAACAGGAAGACCGTGATTCTGTAACACCTCAGATACATACTGAGAGAAAAAGAGAGGAAAAGAGCCAAGAGTTGAAGCTGTTTTTGTACTGATGACAGACTTATAATTCACATGCTATGAATCTTATGTATAGTCTTATCTTTTACTTTGAGTAATTTAAGGTACCGTAATAAAAAGACGACAATAATCAGATGAGATGAAGTTCTTTTCATTCAAGTATTTAATGTATGGTCTCCACAAAAACAAGAAACATTTATTTTTATTATCAAATCAGCATATTAAAATGATTTCTGAAAGATCATGTGACACTTGAGTAATGATGCTGAAAATTCAGATTTGCCATCACAGGAATAAATTACATTTAAAATATATGAACAAAAATAATTATTTTAAATTGAATACTGTTTTTTTTTTTTTTGTATGTTTGATTAAATAAATGCCTTGGTAAGTGTAAGAGACAAAAACTTTTTTTTTTTTTTTTTTAAATGACCAGCCCTAAACTTTTTGTGTATTATGATTTATCATTATGATAATAATAATAATAATAATAATACCATTATATATAAATATATGTTTTAGGTCACCGACCAAAATCTACCAATGATAATAGGAAAAAACTGTGATGCCGTATTGACAGCTGTCAATCATACCTGGCCCTGCCAGTCTGAGGTGTTGATGAGGATGATGCTGTCGGGGAGATAGCTGTCTGACACCAGGATGTGGTTCAACTGGTCGTAAACAGTTTTACGTGGAATCTAACCACAACAGGGACCAAAATTAGTACAATGAAAATTTTTAAATAAAGTAACAACCTGCTGCTTCTGTTTAGTAACTAGAGTACATTTGCCGTATGCAGCGAGGTTCTATCTGACCTGTAGGTGGCAGCGTGTCTCAAGAGAGCGCTCGTTGTCCAGGCTGTTGGCTCTCTCGTTGGGCGGTCGACTGGGCTGCCTCTCTTTAAGTGATGTGCTCCGCCCCCGTCGCCCTGCCAACTTTGGCTCCACCCTTCAGATCAAGACAGAAAGTTGTTCATATTGCAACTTTTTTAAATACAAACAAAAAAACTAAGTCAAATGTACAGCATCTTGAAATATAGGAATGATCTATTATGCTCTCTTTATCTCAAAATATGTACCCTCATACATTAACCGCGGTGATTTGATTTGATTTGTGTATCCTCACCGGTTGGATGGAATGATGAGTGACTCCGTTTTCGTCATCCGGCCAATTGGAGGCAATCTCTCCATGAAAGTGTCCAAGTTGTCCATCATCTCCAATTCTGTGGTAGGGGTCACAACCTCAGGATGACCCTAAATCCAAGAGACACATACAATTTTTTTCAAAAACATTATATAATACCATTTAATATTGTCAGGGTCATGTTTGGTTTCTGTGTTTTCATTCCTGTGTCTTTAGTTTCGGTTCAGTTTGACCTTAAGTAGTCTTTCCTTAGATACCGATTAGCCCAGCCTAGTTCTCCCTGTGTATATATACTGCGTTTGGTTCTGTTGTTTGTTGGTTCTCATCCTTAGTTTATGTGTGTAGACAAAACTATCATTGCTCTTGGTTTGCTCCTCGAAATAAAAAAGCAAATAATGGTAACACTTTACAATAAGGTTAAATAGTTAACATTAGTTGATGTATTAACTAACATGAACTAACAATGAGCAATACATTTGTTATAGTATTTATTAATCGTTGTTAATGTTAGTTAAAAAATACAGCTGTTCATTGTTTGTTCATGTTAGTTCACAGTGCATTAACTAATGTTAACAAATACAGCCTTTGATTTTAATAACATATTACTAAATGTTGAAATTAATATTAACTAAGATTAATAAATGCTGAAGCAGTATTGTTCATTCTTAGTTCATGTTAACTAAGGTAGTTAACTAATGTTAACTAATGAACCTTATTGTAAAGTGTTACCCAAATTATAATAACTGCATAAGTTATATTGGAAGAAAATTTATATCACGTATATTTTAGATTTTACCTAGTCCTAGTTTGGACACGCTTACAAAATAACATTGTTTTACAGTTTACACTGTAGCATCCTGTTTACATCCCGTTTACTCCACATGTTGATTCAATGTGGCTGTCAGAGCTCATCACAAAGCAGATGAACACGAGTCTTGATCTGATATTCAGTGTGTAACTTGTGGTAATGAAGGACATACCATAGAAATATGATCAGATTCATTATCCATCTGAAACTTCCCACCTCCAGCCCTTATTTTATCAGGATCCATCTGAACAGAGAAAGAGAGAGAGAAGTAGAGAGTTAGCTGTGGATTTATTTAACTGGAGTCTTTGTGTTTCTAATCTAGCTGCTCCTTTCTCCTCACAGGGAAAAGTGGTTAAAAATGGCTATATATATTACAGTACAAAAATGTTGGGTTGGTAAGATAAGTCTTTGATAAATATACAGTAAAAACGCTAATATTATGAAATATTACTGTTTCCTATTTTAGTACTTTTTAAAATGTAATTTTTTCCTGTGATGGCAAAGCTGAATTTTCAGCATTATGACTCCAGTCTTCAGTGTCACATGATCCTTCAGAAATCATTCTAATATGCGGATTTATTTGGTGTTAAAAATGTTGAAAACAGTTTTGCTGTTTAATATTTTTGTTAACTGTTATATACACTCACCTAAAGGATTATTAGGAACACCATACTAATACTGTGTTTGACCCCCTTTCGCCTTCAGAACTGCCTTAATTCTACGTGGCATTGATTCAACAAGGTGCTGAAAGCATTCTTTAGAAATGTTGGCCCATACTGATAGGATAGCATCTTGCAGTTGATGGAGATTTGTGGGATGCACATCCAGGGCACGAAGCTCCCGTTCCACCACATCCCAAAGATGCTCTATTGGGTTGAGATCTGGTGACTGTGGGGGCCATTTTAGTACAGTGAACTCATTGTCATGTTCAAGAAACCAATTTGAAATGATTCGAGCTTTGTGACATGGTGCATTATCCTGCTGGAAGTAGCCATCAGAGGATGGGTACATGGTGGCCATAAAGGGATGGACATGGTCAGAAACAATGCTCAGGTAGGCCGTGGCATTTAAACGATGCCCAATTGGCACTAAGGGGCCTAAAGTGTGCCAAGAAAACATCCCCCACACCATTACACCACCACCACCAGCCTGCACAGTGGTAACAAGTAGGGTTGGGTACCGAAACTCGGTGCCAATAGGGAACCGGTTCCGACGTAAACGGTAGTAACCAGACCGAATAAGAACGACAATTTCGGTGCCTGATTTTGGTGCCAGACTTAATTAGGCACACACGCACACACACACACACACACACACACAGTCTCTTCTGTCTCGCATGCGCGCTCTTGCTCGCAAGGTTTGGCTGCATTTCTCGTGTAAAATTACGCGTCAGAATGCCCTCTGGGTGTGCCGATAGGCTGAATCCATATAGAATCAAGCCAATTTATTGGCTGATGGCGCCGGCGCCGCCTCGACGCACTTACGTTGTCATATTATGTTGGCGCGCGCGCGCCATCTGCTCCTCAGATTTCTTTGCCGAAAAAGGAAGCTGGTCGGCAGCGCAAGGAGCTTGGCAGCGTCTCGTTCTCTATTGAGAGAACATAGGTTACACCAGTAACCAGAGATGTTCTCTTTCATAGGTTCACTCAACACTGCGAAGCTTAGAAGCAGTGGATTTGTATTTGTAGGCTACTGTATCACGTGCCGTTTGAACTGACGCGCTACAGCGATCTGTCACATTTCAAAGAGCCAAAACGTTATTTATTGTGTGAATCTCGTAAAAATATTGACAGAATCTGACAGCTGTGGATTTGTTCCATATCAAAAGTAACCTTGTCTGTCGGTGTCAGTGTCCTCTTTGTCCGCGATTTTTCTCTGCGTGAGAAAATGGATGTGTGGCGTGCGTGAGAGCGTGTGAAAAGGGTCAATTGGCTTTATGCCACAGCTTCACTACTTCCTGAACTTCAGCCAGCCCTTTGTTTCCTGTCTGTCATTATTGGACAAACTGATTAATCCAGGTGTGCCTGGCCTCAGTAACAATAATCAGGCACACCTGGATTAATCAGTTTGTCCAATAATGACAGACAGGAAACAAAGGGCTGGCTGAAGTTCAGGAAGTAGTGAAGCTGTGCATAAAGCCTATGGGCTATATGCACGCATAACTTCCGCGTTTGACGCAAGGATGCTCGTGCGTTTCCGGTTGGGGAGATTTAAAGCGGAGGAAAACCAAGGAAAACGGGATTATGGCAGAGTCTTCAAAATTTACTGTCCTCTCGTCTTTGAAACGAAACTTTAATACGTTTAGATGTAATTTTATATATAGTTATGTTTATTTAATATAATAAACACAGAAGCATAAACAAAACGAGGAGTGTCTGTTTTGTCTGTTTTTGTGACTAACGTTTCTTTAGTATAGCAATAGAGTATAAAAACCAATATAAATTCTCGGTATAGCATTGGACTCTACGATCGGCGGAAGTAATCCAGCATCCTTAGACCTTCACCGGAAATACCGCCGTGCATAGAGCCCATTGCGTGAGTCTCACGGTCAATGCGTGAGAGTTGGCAGCTCTGCCTGCTAGTATTCTCTATTAATCTCCAGTATTATTACATTGTTTGATACAATATTGTTTTATTTGATATTATGTAAATGTGAATTTTTATTTTATATTGGTTTTATTATTATTTGTATTTATATTGTTTAAAGATTTAAGTTAATATTGTGTCCAGTTTGGCCTTGTAAATAAAAGGGTATTATTTTTTGATAAAGTGTGTGCGGTTTCGTTTTCTTAAGTACCGTTTCAAGAACCGTTTAGGCACCGGAACCGTTTAAAAAATACCGAGTAGGTACTGGTATCGGATAAAACCCAACCGATACCCAACCCTAGTAACAAGGCATGATGGATCCATGTTCTCATTCTGTTTACGCCAAATTCTGACTCTACCATCTGAATGTCTCAACAGAAATCGAGACTCATCAGACCAGGCAACATTTTTCCAGTCTTCAACTGTCCAATTTTGGTGAGCTCTTGCAAATTGTAGCCTCTTTTTCCTATTTGTAGTGGAGATGAGTGGTACCCGGTGGGGTCTTCTGCTGTTGTAGCCCATCCGCCTCAAGGTTGTGCGTGTTGTGGCTTCACAAATGCTTTGCTGCATACCTCGGTTGTAACGAGTGGTTATTTCAGTCAAAGTTGCTCTTCTATCAGCTTGAATCAGTCGGCCCATTCTCCTCTGACCTCTAGCATCAACAAGGCATTTTCGCCCACAGAACTGCCGCATACTGGATGTTTTTCCCTTTTCACACCATTCTTTGTAAACCCTAGTAATGGTTGTGCGTGAAAATCCCAGTAACTGAGGAGATTGTGAAATACTCAGACCGGCCCGTCTGGCACCAACAACCATGCCACGCTCAAAATTGCTTAAATCACCTTTGTTTCCCATTCTGACATTCAGTTTGGAGTTCAGGAGATTGTCTTGACCAGGGCCACACCCCTAAATGCATTGAAGCAACTGCCATGTGATTGGTTGATTAGATAATTGCATTAATGAGAAATTGAACAGGTGTTCCTAATAATCCTTTAGGTGAGTGTATATATATATTCAAAAGAAAAACAATTGTCCTTGCTGATCTTGCTGAATAAATGTTTCAATTTATTTCTTTTGTTCTTTTGTAAATAAAAAAATAATAATCTTACTGACCCCCAAACTTTTGAATGATACATATATATTAGGAAAGGGTTTAAATTAGGGTTAGTTATTAGGTTAGTATAATTAGCTTTATTTTAAGACAATATAAGTTTATGTTATGTGCTTATTTCAATATCTACTAAACACATGAGTGTGTTCTTACTGGACTGGGCGGCTCTCTGTGACTCCTAATGCTGTGAATGCTGCCAATTTCTGTCTGAGAGCTGGATAGAGAAATTCCTTCGAAATATGGCCTAAATCAAACACACACACACACGGTTAATAAAACAACACACATCTCAATATTAAAATAGGCACTACACATACACTAATGAACAAACTCTCTCCTCGACATACTTGAGTTTGGGTTTTGGGGTGCTGAGAACACTTTCATCATCATCCAGATCCGGTCCACTGTCACTCGGATTCTCAAACTCCAGACTCTCTAGATCCAGATCTTCCTCTACCTCTGGAGGCGGCTCGGCTGGGTCCTGCTCCGAGTCCAACACCTACAAACATTTAAACATGTATTCCTCGTTTGAACTGCATGGAAGTGACGGCCAGTAGATGAAACGGACACAGAGGGTTAAGCACAATCTGATAAAACAGAAAGTGCTCAGACTCAGCTGCAGGGGAATCGATCCCAAAGCAGAATGTGATGTTCCTGAATAATATTAATGAGGGAGGAAATCAATCAAGGACTTGGTTTGCAACCATCAATGGTCGGTGTAAATCCAGCTTCTTCAAATATTAACAAGCTGCTACTGATTGAGCTAAATGCACAAACGTCATTTCTGCATTAAATGTTATAAACTAAATAATCATTACACAATGAGTCAATAATGTCTCAAATCAAATATTAACATTCCATTTTAAAGAGTTTGCTTTCAAAACTATTGTTTTTGCAATATTAGTCGGTATACAGTATATACTGAGCAGTATTTAGTAAGTACTAAGCTAGTACTAAATTTCAAAATGTAACCATACTGACTGGTGTTCAAAATGCCTGGTGTTCAATAATTTCCTGTAATAAAATATTGCTGAAAAAACCTTCAGTCAGGGTTCAGTGTGTTCCATAATAAGAATCAGCGTATTGTCAGAACAGGAAGTAATCTGAGACATAATGCTGATGAGATCATGTTTCTGTCCCCGCTGGATGCCACTGCTGCTTCTGCACATCAACACACACGTCCTGTCCTTGAGACAGGACTGACCTCTGAACCCAAAGTGGCAAGTGTTTGCTTTGCTGTGGGCAGCATTATCTTTGGAATGGCATGGAACCGAATACTAGATTACAATTTACTGCATACTGAGGATATACTATATATTGCCTTTTTCTTTTTTAAATGGGAGTGCATTATGCAATTATAGTAAAATAGTATGCTACTTTGCTGTTATATTATGTCACATGACCGCCTCACGTTGCATGATTAAAGGTGAACTAAGTAACTTTTTTACCTTAACCGAACAGCTTTGGAGTCATTGTAATGTTTATATCCTCCTGAGACCCAGAAAAAAAAAGTTTTTTGAATTTAGTTTTTTTCCATGTCATCACACTGTTTAGAGCACAATAAACAAATGGTAAAAAAACACCAATATAAAATAATATTTTATTCATAAGTTATGCTATGTCCTCTGTAGTGGACGCCAGGACTAAGTTGTTTAAAAAATAAAATGACATGAAATTATATGTATAGGCAAAAACAATGGGATTTTTTTTCAATCACCAATAAATTTTGGGGTTTCAGGATTTTTTCAACCAAAATTTGTATAAAGATTATTCTCAACTATGTTATGAAAGAAATAATGGAATGAATTGATACACCATTTTACTTTTTGCAATATGTGGGTAAAATGGCCATAAATTAATATTCCCATTCAATGCAATGTATCTATACACTGTATCTAATTTGCACATTAATGTGTTCTTGGAGCAACATTTAATGAAAAAAGAAGTGTAACAATTGGAGTAATTATTGGCAACATTTTAATAATATCATCTAATATTTCATAGGAATATTGATGTATAATTTATCTCCATATTCACTTGTTGTGTCTCCCAGAATGCCTGATAAACATGGTTTTAGTCCTGATGTCCTCTACAGTGGACACGTTTGAAATCAATGCCCTGTTCTGTAACAGAAAGTATTTTTTTTATTTGAAACCCCTTAACATTTTCCTGAGATGTTGTTTTATGAAATACAATTTGAAAAAGTAGTCCAATTTAAATATAATTACAATATATTATCATATTTCCATAAGAATGCTACATTTGATCACTAAATTAATGTCCAACATTTTTAAAGACCAAGGAGAAGTTGTTTTCATGGTGAAACCTCCAAACATTTGGTATCTCTGAAAAGTCCTGAATGTGCTCTTTACAGGACACCCAGGTTGTGTCATGTGACATGTATGATGTCAGAGAAATTCACTAAAATATAATGTCCACTACAGTGGACAAAAGTCTATTCTTGGGTCCCAGGAGGATATTACTGATTTCTTGTTGAATGGTGGTCGTCTCGCACCCCCCTGGTGCCTGTGAGGCGCAAAACCACCCTTGCAACTTTGGGCCGGCGGAAAGTGTTAGGAAGTATCGTGTGATATCAGGTCTCGCGAGGTAACTAATTGCTTTACGGCAAGAAACAGATCTGATAAAATTCTGATAAAATGAGCATCAAACAGAAATAACCTGGCGCCGTATACATGTGGTGTTCGAGGCGCACATACAATACAGACTGGCGACAGTTAAACAGGGCGCGCGCAGCTCTTAAAGGGGCCATACCTTATTTCCACTCATTACAGCGTCCATCCTACTGAACAGGTACCGGTGTACAAGGGGAGGGGATCCGGCCGTGAGTGCGAGCAATCTCTGCGTGAGTGCTATTTACGACAGTACAAGTACTCCACAGCGACTCTAGGGGTCGCTGTTTGACAAAAACGGAATTCCTACTTAGTGCTGCTTTAATTCAGCAAATAATCTCATTTTAATCCAATTATGTATAAAATGTGTCAAAATGAACAGTCCAATATAAAAAAGAAAATCTAAAATTACTTTAGTTCATTAGATTGAAAATTAAAGGTTAAATCAAGTGCTTTGCATTGTGGGCAAAAATTTAAATCTAAATATAGTAGCTCATCCAGTTATTCCATGCATGCAGCATATATATTTGCATAATGTCAGAAGAATAGTATGCTACAATGCTGTTCAGAACATTGTGCCGAACTCTACTCGGCAAGATTATAAGCTAACAGGGTTTCAGTTTCCGTAGCAGTGCTGATCAAGCATGGCTAAATTAATCTGTGGAGTCACGTAAGGGTCAGGCCTCCAGCCTACTGCCTCTCAGACTCAACGCTGTCATGCAAGAGTTGAAGAAATCATTTATAAAATTACTTTATATGGGGAAATGTTGAACTAGGCTACATTCACACTGTCAGCCCAAATCTGATTATTTGTATATCTGATCGAAATTATTGACTGTACACACTGTGTATCGTAACTGTTCGGATCCGATTTGTATGTCCCGTGGCGCTCTTTCGTTTACCGGAATATCTGCATTGGTTTCTATAGCAATGACGTTGCATTGGTAGGTATATGCCAAAAACAACAACCGCAACATGGAGAGGTTTGTAATACAGATGTTGTTGTCTTACAACATGACGATGTGTAGCCGCCGCGCTGGACTACTGTGTCTTATGAGGCAACGGCTAAAGATTAAGAATGCATGGTTTTATTTTGTGCCATTATATTGTAATTTTCTGCCAGTCCAGCCCTTTACAACAACACAACCTTGTTTCTGCAGCGACATCCAGAATGTTTCCTATAACAGCATTTGATATTTTTAGGTTTTTCATAGTGACAAACCACACGAAATCCGATCAGAGCAGTCAGACTGAAATGGTTTTTCAGAAAAGCGATTTGTGCCCTGATTTTGCTATTTTAAAGGTTCTTAACTTAAGGTTTCCTGCAAAAGGTTTACAGGCATCCGAGATCCAAAAACACTTATATTTCCTCATTATATACATTTCAAATCACCTCTTTTCTCACAGTGTCTGATTCTATATAGGACTTGGTCTCTCTAAACCCCTCCTTACTGCCAGCCTACTCTGCTCTGATTGGTCAGATGACCCAGTCTGTCATGATTGGTCTACGCTTACAGAGCGTGTCGGAAACGAAACGCCCATTACCATATCTGAATTTCAGCTCCGGAGGCTTCCTCAGCACTTTTATATACAGTGATACCAACAGTAACGATGATGAAAACAGCATCTTTTCGAACATGTCGACAACATGATCCAAACTCCTCCAGGCCTCAGCTACAAACACAGTGTTTGAGTGCGGGTCAAAGTAGATGTTCACGGGCAGCCAATGGCGATCATAGGCTGGCATTATGCAAATATGTTACAAACCTACATAGTTTGTTGTGCACTTTGATCTTTAAAACTTAGCAGACAATTACAGCTATTTTATACACTACATGAAAGCCAGGTAATGTCTGAAAACAGCATAATAGGGGCACTTTAAGCAACAAGTAAACTCTGTATTCACCAACCTCTTCAGAAACTCTGAACCGTTTGAGCAACGCCACCACACGCTGCTTAAAGTTCTGCTGCTAATGGAGAAAGAGAAACAAACACATAAACATACACGCTCATATTAACAGTCTGTTTAGTAGGCTACACGATCACATCTGAAAGTGAGGACTGCGAGTAAATTCTCATTGTTCTCTGGCGTTCTTACCCTGGTGATTGACGCCGTTCGGACTATTGACCTCCTCTGCTTTTTGGGCTTCCTTATCTCGTATTCGTCATCCTCAAGATCCTAAGGAGCATGTACAAACACGGGTCAGCATTAGCAAGAAGAAAGGGAAGTGAGGTTGCTTTATTTGTGCGTGTGCTTGTAATGACCTGTCCTTGTGCTGCGTCATCACTGGCCTCCTGTTCTGACGAGAAGCTTTCATACTCTTCTTCTGAGTAATTATCTACCAAGTCAAACAAACAATATTATAAAAAGGACAGCTCCCGTCCTGAATGCTGATTGGTCAATAGAGAGTTCCAGCTAGGAATGCACAGATACAAATAATTATTTTTAGGTAATGGTCAATAACCGATAAATAGACAATATTATAAATCTATTTTATTTTTGCCATGATATATCACTATACCTTTAAGTTAATGCTAAATGATGATCTAAGTATTAAAATAGGCAGAATTAAACATCCAATAATCGGGTGAAATCGTAACAAATAAATAGCTGATATCCAATAAGGTGCCAATATATCAGGTTACTAGGGCTGCAGCTATCGATTCTTTTTGTAATCGATTAATCTAGCACTTAATCGATCGATTAATCGAGTAATCGGATAATTTTTTTGTGTGTGTTTTTAAACAACCAAAACAAATAATGCATAACGAAAATGATGTGGCTGTAAAATGATCAAGCATTTGGCTTTTATTTCTCAAAAAACAAACAAACAAAAAAACTGGTATTTATTTCAACTCCAACATTTGGCTCCAAAACTAAGCCTATTTATTGCAATTTTTACCCATTTAGTATAAGTGCCAACAATGTTCTATGCTCAATTACTTTGGTAGCCGATTAAAATGTCTTCCCCAAAAGTACGAGTGGATTTGGAGAAGCAGGCTGTGGAATTTAATTTTTTGTTGTTGTCTGTAACTATTTGGAAGACGTGACATACAAACACATACAAACACAGTCTCGCACAGACTGCAATACAATATTTGTTCCTCCATCACGTCGCGGTGTATACAGTGAAGGCATGCTGAAATTATTGTTGCGTGGCTACATAAAAGTTTAAGCATATGTGATGCATTGCCGCAATTGATCTGACTGGCGCGTGAGAGAGACGAGGGTGTATGCGTGTATGCGTGTGTGTGAGTGAAGGGGTTCACACACCGAAAGCAAATTTATTTATTTACGCGAGTAGATTACATACAAAGTCAATGCAAAGACGCGAATAGACGCATCATTCGCGCCGGGCGTCGCGAACGTCTTCCACGCACGTTGAAAAATTTTAACTCGAGCGAATGTTTAAGTGTCTAACTACACGCGATAGACGCGTATTTGACGCTCTATTCGCGTTCGGTGTGAGCACACCAGGTTACCTTGTTTCAGCGACGCTTGGTGAAACAGCATGTAATGGATGTTTTCGGTTCAGAATGCTGATTCATTGCAGTCGTACTGTTGTGGTATGCCAGGTCTACTTTGCAGTAGACACATTGCACCTTGTTCTCTTCCTTTTTAAGTATGTAATGATCCCAAACTTTAGACATTCTCTGCCGTTTATGGACATCTTTACTCTCCGCCATCGCGCCAAATAAATTCAAAATGTATCACGCGCTATAGTATAGATCCGCGTATAGTGCGTGTCATAGGAATTTAACGAGGCTTCGAGGCAGAGTTTTTGCCTCGAGGAATTTTTGTAATCGAGTAACTCGAGTAACTCGAGGAATCGTTTCAGCCCTACAGGTTACGCATCCCTAGTTCCAGTCACGCTAAAATACACAATAAAGAAGCAAAACACATAGAAACACATGGAAAACACAACTGGTCATATATATAGAAAATACAATTGGTTATTGTCAGGGACATGCCCTCGACTAATTCATTAAAAATTCATTTGTATGGCTGGATGTTTTTTTTTTTTACCAGAACATTTGATTTTCTGTCCCAGAATGGCCGCCTCTTCATGGTCTATCGGCTGACTGGACAGGGAATAGATCCAAATCTCAGCAACTTTACCCAGAAGCTCCTTCTGATTACTGCACAGAGCCAAGACCTGCCCTCCTTCTGCAGGATGCTGCATCACCTACACACAAACACAAACAAATCAGCATGTTAGCATGTGTGTGCGCTTCAAAAGTGACTATTTTGACCTCAGTAAGAAACCTGAAATACCTCTGCCATGTCTATAGAACCAGCAGCCAACGTCTTGTAACCCAAAATTGTTCTGTTTTTGTACCTCTTCCTCCTCTGAAGCAGGATTTGCAACTTATTTCCCTCGCGCTTCAGAAAATGAGGGTACTATTTACATACAAGCACGCACACACGGGACAGAAAGAAGAAAATCAAACTCAATTTCATAATAAAAAATCTAAAATGATTCAGTGCATGATGATGTATTGAACAATATTGGCTCTGTTTCAAAACTTAGAAAGCTGTCTACGCAGGGAGCATTTGAAGAAAAGGTTGTTTCTACGATACCTTCCTTTTGGCCAAATTCCAAGGCAGCACATCATGTACCCTCTGCGGTGAAAGCACTCCCATAATGGATTGCAAAGAGTAATGCAGAGCGTTCCAAATCAGTCGCTCATGACGTTCTTTGTCAAGCAAGGCAGCTGCCCGTGTAGGCAGTGGACAAGGCAGTTTTGGAACAGAGCCATTGTTTTTATGATTGAGCCATTTGAAAATGTGTGTTTTGAGGATATCTTTACCTGTAGGGAGAATGTGAGAGCGAGATCAGTCTCCACCCCTCCAGCAGGGGGCAGCACTATCTCATGAGAGCGCAGGATTCGCTTGGAGCCCTACATCACAGGAGCAAACAGACCATCTGTCTTTCACACAATTGCTCCTTTTGACATCACTTTGAAGAAACAATTATCCACGTTTATTGCAAAGTGTTTTGGATTGGCTTTTCTAATTTTGTCAAATGGAATTTGTCCCCATACCTCTGTATTGGCCAAAAATGTGTAAAATGTAATTGCTTGTAAGACTCTTCTATGGTGTAATACACTGCCAGGCCAAAAAAAGTCGCTGTTTGGATTTAAATAAGCAAATTCTTAAGTGTCTATGAATGGATTATTATTGCAGTGATTATTATGTTTCTAAAATGTTATATGTTTGGCAACAGTTCTTCTAACCCTAACTGATGGAGTGTGTAGGTTTTCATTTCTTAAACAACCATGTAGGAAAACACATCATGGCCATATTCCAGGATGACAAAGCCAAGATTCCTCAGACTCAAATTGTGAAAGAATGGTTGGGAGGGAGCATGAAGAATCGTTCTCACACATGAATTGGCACCTCTGAGTCCAGACCTTAAATTCATTGAAAGTCTTTGGGATGTGCTGGAGGCTTTGACTTTATAGAGTCAAGAATACACTTTACAACACAAGATCTTGATCAAAAATGCACATCTTGATGGAAATAACATCACAGCATTTATTTCCATCAAGACTCTTAAGCATTTGCCTATTTAAATCAAAACGGGCTGGGCAGTGTATAAAATAAAATAAAATAAAATAATGTTTCCTTTTAAAATATTTTGTTCATTGTCTTTATACTTATGAATGTTGTAGTCTTTGTTGGGAAAAAAAATATCTATACACATGCTGAAAAACAATATACACTGCTGATCACTACGTACCTGAATCTTGACTGCAATGACAACAGAAATCAGCTCTTTGTCAAGTTCCTTCATCACAACCAGCTTCTTCAAAGTCAGACTACACAACCTACAGACAAAAACAACAGAGTTATTTACACAAACACGTGATTATACATAATGTCTGTCAAATTGAAGAGTTATCTTTGTAAGTAGTATAGTAGCATAGTAGCTTTCAACCAGGACAGATCAATTCAGAAAACAACTAGAAGTCACGGGGCTGATGAAGTGGGGTTCGGGGATTTCAGCCCTCTGGAAACTGGCATACAAAACTGTTTACAAAACGTTCCATTGAGAGGCTGTCATTCCAACCAGGAGGAACCGCTTGAATGAGCTAAATTCTACTAAAACATAACAATCACACGCCCTCGCTTCGACACCGCAGTAAACCTGAACACTACTGAATGACATCCACCCTTTAGCACATACAGTGATAAATAACACAAATGAAAAAAAGAATCAACACCCCCACATTCACATCACAGAGGCAAACATTTCCAGAATTCAAGGATTAGTAGACCAAAAAAAGACAATTAAGTACCGTAGTTATTTGCCTATAATCTTCCCTTTTGCCAAAGCTCAGACATCGAATAATGCAGGCGGGGCACATTTAAATATGCGCATATGCAAATTCAAATTGCACAGGGAATTACATTTGTTTCTCGCACAAATCTATTGAATGACTTCAGAAGACTTAGAATAGAATGTACAAGTTGCATGTGGTGATTTTTCTCATTTATGGATCTTGACAGACCCATTACTTTCATTAAATGGAAAAGACTTGAGTGTGTGAACAACCCGCCTAAGATCTTCCTTTGTGGGCAATGAAAAAAGCCATATTGTACTATGCCTTAAAAGCAGAGAGTACCCCATCCCAGAGAATGAGATAATGTCAGTCATGCAGGGAGAGAGCTGGAGCAGAGATGAGTCAGGAATGTCACAGTGGGAAGTGATCAAGGGACCAGAGAGGCCCTTAGAGGAACCAGAGCAGCCTGAACACAGAGAAAAGCCAATGGGGAAAGTCCCACACGCACCTCATAGAATATTAATAAGAAACGCTTTATATATTCAAATCACATACCAGGTACTAAGAGGACGAGGAGGAAAGAGCGAGAATGAGAGAGAAAATATCCCTCTTCCCTTTATCTCTGCTCTCTTGATTCATTCACTTTGTCTTTTTTTTTTTGTTAATTGTGATAACATATTTATTTATAATAAGGACACATATATGCTTTTTTCCCCTTTTATTTATCTATATGTTTGTATATGTCTATTGCTTTGGCAATATTGTCCTATCTCACACAGTCATGCTATCAATAAAGCTCATTTGAATTGAAAACAATATTGAGAGAGAGATATAAAAAAAATCTTACTTGGACCAATTTCCTCTTTAGTAGCACATCATATTTATAAATGCCACAAACTAAGAGGTACTGAGGGAACATATCCGCATTAGTACTATTAATTTGCGTATATATATATATATATATATATACGCAAATGAATAGTACTACTAATGCGGATATGTTTCCTCATCATATATATATATGAGACATAAAATACATGAGACTGTTTTGTGAATGTTTTTGTTTGTTTGTTTTTTTTGTTTTTTTGCTTTATGCAATGCTTTGGCAATATGTAGAGAGAGAGAAAGAGAGAGAGAGAGGGGCACGCAGTTCAATCTCTCGGGTGATCTGAAGGCTGGTATTGTTCACACACACACCATTCTTACTTTGACTCACACACACACACAAACAAAAGCCATTCTTCTCCCCTGAGCGATTAGCATGCTAACACACAACAAAGGAACACACAGCGATTCTAAATACACTTTACATACACACATTTCTCTCACACAGCACATACAAACACAGATTAAAAAATATTTTTGCAACCACAAAAACACAAACTTGCTTTTTTTGTGGCTGTGGCTGATGACCTCTAATTCTCCTCAATTAGAGCAAAAAAAGCTATTAAAGCAAAAGATAAATTTGCAACACAAACTCAATAATATAACACAAAAAAAAATGGTATGCGCATGACGTCACTGTCGACCGGAGTGACTGCGGTTACGCCCACTGAGTGGTAAAAAGACTGAGCGGCAGCATTTGTTTTCAGCGTGAATGCTGTGAAAAACACAAAACACCGGGATCTAAACCGGGAAAGAGCTTTGAGATTGACTGTACATCTAGTTTTGACTAGAAATCTGAGGTATATTTTTACAGAGAAGCAGATGGATCACTGCAATTCATTGAAACAACTGGACTCCATATGCTGAATTTTGGGGTAAAATCATACACTATATATTGTATTGACAACTCATCAATTAAATATTTACCATCGTATATTCTGCATAATTCAATGTTTTTAAACAAAAACTGAGAAAAAAAAAACTATACAAGTTTTAGGGCTGATGATATATATATCATGATGATATATATAACATTGATATAAGTGATCCAAATTTAGACCTACCTATCTTGTTGTATTTATATAAAGCGTTCATAGGTAAATTTGCTTTATGTATTTCCCCAGCATCGAAATCAGACGCATATAAATGTCAGGAAACACGATTCCTGGCTCCATGTCAATATCCAGGGATCACTGTATCTTTGGTAAGTTGTAAGGAACACTATATCGAGTCCAACCTTTAGTTTAAACTGAGAATCGTTTGTTTTACTCATGTTTTCACAGTTTCCCCTATTAAATCCTAGGCTAATTAAATCCAGTCATACAGCGGCTCTTTTGCCACTCAGTCCGGCTTAAGTGGTCGTCTTCCGGCGGGAAATTGACATCAACGCATACCCTCTATTTTTCCTGTCTAGTCATTATAATTCAGTATAATAATGTCATGTGTACTTACAATTGTACTCTGTAAATACTTTTCAATTTAATTACCGCTAGTCTTTTTCTGCATTACAGTAACAGGAATTCTTATTTTGCATTACAATAGACTAAAGATAATTGGGGAAGGGGGTTTAAATCTACTTTGTTCATGAATATATATATATAGGCCTATATATATATATATTCTTTCTTTTAATTGTGACGTTAAATACAGCTTGGGGTTGGACTCAAAACACTGCCATAAATTACACACTTTAGTTTTTAACCGTCAACACACATTATTTATAGTAAATTATATCAAGTAAAAAATAATTGATATTAGTAAAAGCTGTGTCAGAGGTTGATCAATGAGACCACCTACAAACACGACAGGAAACAATGGCCACACACACAAATTAATGTTGTTTTCTCAGTACAAAGGCTGATTATTTCAGCTGGTGTGGTGTGAGGTGTGTGTGCTGTGTCTCTCATTACACAAACACACACACTCTCTCTCTCTCTCTCACACGTCAACAAAACCCTTCTAATAACTATGTAGGCCTATAACCTCCTATAAAGATCTAATAGCCTTCAATGACCTCCCACAGAAGAACAGAGACTGTGTTCATCCTCTCTGGAGTTAAAGATAAACGCGTTTCACTCCACTCGGCTGGATGCAAACTCAATCACAGCTCCATTACACACACTCTCCTACAGATACTGTGTGCGTGTTTCTCTCTGACAGATGCTGCAGAGACTCTGGAAGCACAGAGGGAATGAGAACAAAATCAATTTCATTCATTTCTCCTCAGAAACCATCAGCTCCCATCACTCCTGACTCAGGTTACACGCACATCTACTGTAACTTTAAGTCTGAAACGCCAGTGCTAAGGGGTGAAATTGCGCTCAGGTTACGGGCCCTGACACACCGCCGGGATTAGCCGATATATTAAAACACACAAGAGCTGACACCATCATTTCACAAGACTCACAGAAACACTGTATATGTAGATTTACAGACCTGAAGCATACAGCATTGACAATCTTTACAGAAGAAAACGTCCATTACATCAATAGAAATACCCTATGATTCATGCCATAATAACAAATTAAACGTGAAATGTATGATTGAGTCAGACCAGTTATTATTAACTGAAACTAAAACTGAAACTTGCCTTTGCAACTAAAATAAAATAAGTTAAGAAATATTAAAATTACCAAATCAGAAATAAAAATATCAAAGCTAAATAGATATATTTTTTAAAAGAACAAATAAAAATGACAAAAGAACATAACATAATTATTTAAACTAAAAATAAAATGAATCAAATAAAATATAAAAATGATAGCTAACTAAAAAAAATAGTAAATGCCAAAAGAGTATATAAATAATACAAATATAACGCAGTGTCTGACCAATGGGACAGTGTACAATTTTTATTTTTGGTGCTGCTAGTGATTCTTAAAATTACACACTTCACCTTCACGAAAGTAGTTTTCATTCTGTTACTGACGCATTTCCTGTTGAAACAGGAAGATATATGGACATTGAAGTTATATGTAATATGTTTAGTTAAATATCAAATGGACATTTTCGAATATATATACTGTATATGAGAGCCATCATTGTCAGTTGCAGATGGTGTGAGGGGAAGGGACGTTCACATTCTAGAGTGCATTCGATTGGACAGAGAACTGCATAGTGCATGATGAGTCATCATTTTTTGGGGTATATTCTCCTGGAAGAGACTAATTTTAAAGTCCCCATGAAACCGGAAGTTACAACCGACTTTACTTCAGTGTTGTGATGTATTTCCAAGTGCAACGGAATATTGAATAGAGGTCAGGGTTTTACTTTAGCGCACCTCCTCTCCATCCCTCGCTCATAGCAGACTGACGGTTGGAGAGGAGTGGTTAAGCATTTTCAACCAAAGCCGTCAAACTGACGTCAGAGAAGGAACGCCATTCCAGAGCGGAAGTCAATTTTCCAATTTTGATTAAAGATTACCACAACAAACATTTTTTTTTTTTTCTGTGTAGTAACTTGCACGGATTGTTCACCACAAGACTAGTAATGTGCGCTAACAAAGTAAATAGGGTCAATTTTGATTTCATGACGACAACTTTAACTGCACACTATCACATTTGTGCACTAGCAGAGATTGCCTCAAAACTAACACACATGGACTAAAAGCAACAAAACCATTTCGATTTCACAGTTTGTTTGTGTGTGCCTTCAAAGCG